CCCATGTGAATCTCAAGGACTAACTTATGAACATCATCACCTGTGAGAAGGACTTAGGGTTGTTTTATCAAACTTATCTGTACACTGAGATAGCAGAGAGACCAAATAGAGCACAAGGTCTATTAGAAGCCAAGAGTAAAGCTTAAGTTACCAAGGTAAACTATTTACTGTTTCACATAAACCATTAGCATCAGCAAAGGAGGGATGCTCTTCTTTGGTATGAGTTCCAATAACCTAGACCAAACTTAAAATTAGAAGCAAAAAATTTAAAAGAGAGCAGTAGCTGGGCCCAGTGGCTCACGCCTATAATCTTAGCTACTCAGGAGGCTGAGATCTGAGGATTGTGGCTCAAAGCCAGCCTGGGCAGGAAAGTCTGTGAGACTCTTATCTCCAATAACCCACCAGAAAACTGGAAATGGTGCTGTGGCTCAAGTGGTAGAGTGCTTGCCTTGAGCTGAAGAGCTGAGGGACAGCACCCAGGCCGAGTTCAAGCCCCATGACCTACCAAAAGAAAAAGAAAAAAGACAGCAGCAAAAATACCTGACTAGGATAAGGAACTTGTCCTCCAGGAAACTGAGAAGGCATATGTCCTCCAGGAAAGCCACCTACATGTGACAAAACAAACAGAACAACACTCAATTTATACAACTGGTTTTACAGTTGCAACCAGGTTACATGACTTAATATTTCCAGACAGTGTTGATCACTGTGAATATAGAAACATGAGAATATTCATGCTGTCATTAAATGAGATACTTTAAAAAATATTATGATCTGCTGTAAAATATAATGTTGTACTGAATGTAAAAAAGCAAGTTGGATCATAAGAGCCTTTTTAATATTCCATACTTTATGTAAGTGGTTAATGAGTGTGTGTGTGTGTGTGTGTTATACTTGTACCACATTTAATTTAAATTCCATCTGGAATAGTTTTCAGGATTTACTTTTGAAGGTGGTTTCACTTGTGGTACAGGAGTGGGCAGAAGTTCCTGAAGGATCTGCTTTGGGCTGTGAGCCAGACTTTTTAACATAACAACAAGCTTCTCATCTCCATTTGATGCATTACATTCTTCTATCAAATAAACTTATTTCTCAAAACTATTTAATTTGGGGGATGGTCACAGAAAGTGACAGAGGAGATGAGATTGATTAGAATAAAGTAGAAACAAGTGTGGGGACACAACAATAAAATCCTGCCCTGTTTAGCTAATAAAAAGATCTATATATTTATATTTATTTTACAGAAATAAACATTCCCTGAAGAGTATTCAAAGCATAAATTAAGTTCTCCTAGTAGCAACTGAAAGACTTACAGTGTCATGATACTGTTTCTCTCTGGACAACTGGTACCTACCAGGTAGTGGGACCTGAGTTGGGCCTCCACTATAAGACTGTGAAGGTGGTTGTGGATAGCCAGAAAAGCCTGCTCCAGCTGGTGGGGCTCCAAATCCTTGTCCTGGAGAAAATTCAGTGGATAGTTTAATTATAGTTCACATTCTCATGGTTACAGAGAAAACTTTAGAAATATGCCTACTGTTAACAGTAGAAAAGATATGTCAATAATGCTAGAATAGCAATACTTTTTGTCTATATTTACCTTCTTACCAACTCTTTCCACATTAAAGAACAAATTTAATAGCCAAGAATAATGACACGCATCCATACTCCCACACTCAGAATGTTAAAGTAGGAAGATCAGGAATTTGAGGCCAGCCTGCGTGAAACAGTGAGATACTGTCTCAAAAAATACATAAATAAAATCTTACTATATTTATCTGCCTTTATTGACTTATTACACAGATTGGTAAGGTTTTTTCTTTTTACTTTCAGAGAAAGCTATCCAAATAGTAGTTACTGTCATGCTAAGTGAAATAGTTTAATCTGTGTGTGTGTGCGCACATACTCGCATGCTTGCTCATGATAGAGAGACAGAGAGATAGAGAGACAGAGACAGAGAGATAGAGAGATAGATAGATAGAGAGAGAGAGAGAGAGCAAACTCAGAGACTGGGCACTGTCTCTGAGCTTCTTTTGCTCAAGGCTAGAACTCTACCACTTGAGCCACAGCTCCACTTCTAGCTTTTTGGTAGTTTAGTGGAGATATGGAATCTCATGGATTTTCCTGCCTGGCTGGTTTTGAACCCTGATCATCAGATCTCAGTCTATCTAAGTACTTAGGATTATAGGCTTGAATCACCAGCACCTGGGCCTTAATCAATTCTTTTTTTTTTTTTTGTCACTCGTGGGGCTTGAACTCTGGGCCTGGGCGCTGTCCCTCAGCTCTTCAGCTCAAGGTGAGCGCTCTACCACTTGAGCTACAGTGCCACTTCCGGTTTTCTGGTGGTTTATTGGAGATAGGAGTCTCACGGTCTCTCCTGCCCGGGCTGGCTTTGAACCGTGATCCTCAGATCTCAGCCTCCTGAGTAGCTAGGATTACAGGTGTGAGCCACCAGCGTCCGGCCTTAATCAATTCTTAAGAGTATAAACAACGAAGCAAAGTGTTATATACAGGCCCTTCAATTACTCAAAAATTAATTTCTTTCATAGCAGAACATTTTAGCCTGCTCCTAGCTCTCATGCCCTAAGAATCTTCTCAGCTATCCCCAAGCTAAGACAAGTGTGACCTTTCAGAAAACAAGAAGGAATGAAGAGGATAGATGAAAGAAAAAAGTACTTCAGTAGTCTTAAATCACTACTAGTTCTATGATGCATAGCTTACCTCCAGGATAGGATGGAGCTCCCCCTGGTTGTGGGGCACCAGGATAGCCTCCGGGGGCTGGATAGCCTCCCGGTACAGGGTAGCCTCCAGCTCCTGGGTAGCCTCCACTTGGAGCTGGTGGGTAAGCACTTCCTCCCATTGGAGGGAAGCCACTGGGATAGGGATACTGACCAGGAGGGGGGAAAGACTCCTGACCTGCAGGCTAGAAAATAAAAATTTTCAATGAACATGATCATAAATGTATCTCAAAAAAAGCAAACAAAAAAACCAAGGATTAATATTGAGGTTTCTTATTTTGCTTTATTCTGTTTTAAATTATTTATTCATTTTTTAGATAAGGGCGCACTCTATAGCCTAGCCTGGAACTTCAGGATCTCTTGCTTTAGCTTCCTGAGTGCTGGGATTATACATATGCATAACTATGCACAGCCTGCCCCATGCCTAGATAAAAAATAAAAAGAAAAATATTGTTAATTTTCAATAATCTCATTAGAGCCATGTGTCAGTGCCTTATTCTTATAATCCTAGCTATGGAAGAGGCTGAGATCTGAAGACTATAATTCAAAGCCAGATCAGGCAGGAATGTCTATGAGTCTTATCTCTAATTAACCACTAGAAAAAACCTGGAACTGGAGTTTTGGCTCAAGTGCTATCTTTGAGCACAAAAGCTCAGGTCCTGAGTTCGAGCCTTAGGACCAGTACATATACACACAAAAATCTAATTAGCTATCCTTTAATCTTACACTAGTTTATTAGTAGTATATTAGTCTGTCAGGAAATATTTTTGTCAGAATTTGGTTAGATTTATTTCTACTTGAGTTAAACTAGAGCCTTATCAGGCTATTGTTTAGCAGCCTCCTACTTTCCAGAGATGAAGTGTGGTTTCTCATTCCCCACAGCCCATGTCTTCATGCACTAATCCCACTCAGTGCCTCTGCGCATCTGCGTTTATGACTCTTGCTCTCACACATCTGTAAGATACTTCATTGACCATTCATACATAACATCTGTTTCAGGAATGTGAATACTTTAGTAGCAATACTTACAGGATATCCAGGGAAAGGCGGGTAGCCTGTGGGGGGATAGCCTGGGTATGACATTCTGTAACAATGGTTTAAAAAAAAGACAAGAAAAGAAAAAAATCCTATGTAGTTTGTTGTTTTAAAATCTTTGAAGATACACAGAGACACACATGTATACTTCTACGGTAGACATTAACATGAGGCCAGAAACCAGTTAGGACGACTCCATTATTGGTGCAGAATTAAATATTTATTATTTCCTAGCAGACCACCATTAAAACCCCTTCTCTCTCAAAGGAACCACTAGTTAAATTACCTGATATGCTAGCAAGTAACCCAATATTTTACCATTCCTCCTTTGAAATGCCTCTCCTATTCTTTCCATTATTTATATTTTTAGATCAGGCTTCATAATATAAACCTATCTTTCTAAATTGCTTCTCCATTTATACTTCTGCTTAAACTCTCTCACCTTTCCAATTTTCCTGGACACCATCAGTACCTGTGCATTTTTTTTTGGGGGGGGTCCAGTCATGGGTCTGAAATCTGGGCCTGGGCACTGTCCCTCAGCTCTTCAGCTCCAGGCTAGCGCTCTACCACTTGAGCCCCAGTGCCACTTCCGGCTTTTTTTTTTGTGCTTATGTGGTGCTGAGGATTGAACCCAGGGCCTCATGCATGCAAGGCAAGCGCTCTACCACTGAGCCGCCTTCCCAGCCACATTTTTTTTTATATATGCTGCTTTTCAGCCAGGTGCGGGTGGCTCATGCCTGTAATCCTAACATTCAGGAGCTGAGATCTGAGGATTGCACTTTGAAGTCAGCCTGGGCAGGAAAGTCCAATTAACTACCAGAAAACCGGAAGTGGAATTATGGCTCAAAGTCTTAGAGCGCTAGCCTTAAGCAAAAAGCAGCTCAGGGACAGTGCCCAGGCCCTAAGTTCAACCTTGGCTCAAACTTTAATATGTGCATAAATTGCCTGAGGATCTTGTTAAAATGCAGACTCTGATTCAGTAGTTTCAGAATGGGAACTAAGATTCTGCATATCTAGGAAAGTGTCAGATGATGCTCATGTAGCAGTGAAAATACTGCATTATTCTGGCATTTCTAGACCCGCCATTTAGTTTACCATGTGCAGTGGCTCATGTCTGTAGTACCAACTGCTTGGGAGGTAAAGATGGAAGAATGGTGGTTCAAAGTCTGAGCAAAAAAAGTTAGAGACTTCCACCTCAATCATTCATCAGTTGGTCACTTGTGATTTCAATTAAGTGAGAAATTGAAGGTAGGACTTGCTCTGAGGCTAGCTCTGGGCCAACAAAACAAAGAAACATACAAAAACTATGAGGCTCTTCCTGAAAAATGACTAAAGGCCTGAGGAAGAGGTTCACGTGATAGAGCACCTGCTTAACAAGTGTGAGGCCGAGTTCAAACCCCAGTATCACTAAATAAGGAAAATATTTTTGGTGCTTCTTTCCATTATAGGCATAAATGATTCATATTTCTTTTACATCAATATGCCAAACCAACACTTAAAGTGTATAGCTCAGTGATTGAGTACATGCAGGAGGCCCTGGGTTCAGTGCATAGCATTAAAAAAAAAAAAAGACACCAACAACTCCAACTCAGCACTTACCAAAGACCATTCTATAATAAACAGTAACCTAGGTGCTGATAAAAATGATGAGGGGGGGAATATTCAGTCTTTTTAGCATACAACATTGACATGTTTGCTTTTATAGTGTTCCTTACAATAAGATGATAAATTAGTTATAGAAGCTAAAAGAGATGCTGAATTGAATGGATGCACTTATACTGAATCAAGTTATAAGTTACTAACTAGTAAGATAATACAAAAATTGACTCAGTCAATTCTCAAATTGTCATTTGGAATCCAAAGACCTGAGCACAAAAACAGGAGAAGATAAATGTTTATTGCTTTCTTCTTCTCTATAGCTGGTCAGAATGAGAGTATGAAGTAGGATGACAGCTTCTAAAGAACAATCAGATATGCTGGGTATTGGTGGCTCACACCATCCTTTACTCTGGAGGCAGAGATCTGAGGATCAGTTTGAAGCCAGCACAGACAGACTCTCTCTCCGATTAACCAGCAAAGAGGTCAGCATGGAGGTTCAAGTGGCAAAGTGCCAGCTGTGAGTGATAAAGCTGAACAAGAATGGGAGAGTGCAAGGTGCTGAGTTAAAGACCTTGCACGGACACAAATAATAAACAGACAAATATTACTACTAAAATAGTAAGATGGACTAAAGGGAAAGGGGTCAGAATTGAAAGGGAAAGAAGCTGAACATAAGTTTTGCTTTTTTTTGGTTTTTGTCGGTTGTGGGACCTGAACTCTGGGCCTGGGCACTGCCCCTCAGCTCTTCAGCTCATGGCTAGCACTTGAGCCACAACACCACTTCCAGCTTTTTCTGCTTACGTGGTGATGAGGAATTGAACCCAGGGTTTCATGCATGCAAGGCAAGCACTTTACCTCTGAGCCACCTTCCCAGCCCCTGAACATAAGTTTTTAAGATAAATAGTGTAGTTGCAAGACCAAAGACTACATAAGCAATTTAAAGTCTCAAGAAATTATTCCACAAAGTTATATGTTTACATTTTTTGGGCTAAATTTGACCCTTAAATATTATCTTTAAGGGTCTTAAGGAAATATGTCAACAGGATTTTCACAAGAGTGAAAAAAAGCAAAGACTATTTACAAATAATAAAAATTAAAACGTTAATGAATTTCAGGCTGGGAATGTGGCTTAGTGATAGAGTGCTTGCCTAGCATGCATGAAGCCCTGGATTCAATTCCTCAGCACCCCATAAACAGAAAAAGCTGGAAGTGGTGCTGTGTGGCTCAAGTGGAAGAGTGCTAGCCTTGAGCAAAAGCAGCTCAGGGACAGTGCTCAGGCCTCGAGTTCAAGCCCTAGTACTGGCAAGCAAAAAAAAAAAAAGTGGTGAATTCTGGCACATTGTGAAGAATGTAGTATAAAGGACTAGCATGCAATTCCATTTTCTTTCTTTTTTTTTGTCGGTTGTGGGGCTTGAACTCTGGGCCTGAGCGCCGTCCCTGCGCTCTTCAGTTCAAGGCTAGCAGTCTACAACTTGAGCTACATTGCCACTTCCGGTTTTCTGGTGGTTTATTGGAGATAAGAGTTTCACGGACTTTCCTGCCCAGGCTGGCTTTGAACCACGATCCTCAGATCTCAGCCTCCTGAGTAGCTAGGATTACAGGCGTGAGCCACTGGCACCCGGCTGCAATTCCATTTTCAAGAATGAATATTGTAGAAATACTTCCACAAATGACAAATTTAATGTAAAAAAGCCATTCCTTACAGTGTTATATATAACAGAGAAGTTAAAAGCAATCTAAATATCCATCATTAAGGGACAGATAAAACATTATGAAAGTTTTTTTCCCCCAATAAAACCATTTCCAATACATATCATGTGAAGAAAAACAAGGTGAAAACAGCAAAGGTAGTTTGCAACATGTTAAAAAGCTATTTTCAAGGAAGTAGAAAACAGTAGCTGCTTCCTGGGGAGAGAGAGCACAGGAATAATGAAAAATAAATTACTTTCCAGTGTTCCTTTAGAACCTTTAAAAATATGTATGGGCGGGTGCTGGTGGCTCATGCCTGTAATCCTAACTGTTCAGGAGGCTGAAATCTGAGTATCATTGTTTGAAGCCAGCCCCAAAGTCCCTAAGACTATCTCCAATTAACCACTAGAAAACCGGAAGTGGAAATGTGGCTCAAAGTGGTAGAGAGCTAGCCTTTAGTAAAAAGAGCTCAGGGACAGCGCCCAGATCCTGAGTTCAAGCCCCATGACAACCACCACCACTAGCAAAATATATAGAGTTAGGAGTGATGGTACATGTCAATACGCTGAAGGTGGAGGTAAAGAGGACAGTGGAATGCTAGGGAGCCTAGGCCCATAACTAATTTTTTTAAGGCAAAAAAGGTGCTGGAGGTGTGGCTCAAATATTAGAGGCCCTGCTGGAGAACCTGAATTAAGCTCTAGTACTGCTAAAAAAAATTTTTTTTATTTCTATTTTTGCCAGTCCTGGGGCTTGAACTCAGGGCCTGACAACTGTCCGGGAGTTCTGAGCTTCGTTTGCTCAAGGATAACCTTCTACCACTTGAGCCAGTGCCACTTCCGGCTTTTTTTCTGTGTGTGTGTGTGTGTGTGTTAGTGAGGATTGAACCTAGGGCTTCATGCATGGTAGGAAAACACTTGGCTTTTTCTGTGTGTGTGTGTGTGTGTGTGTGTGTGTTAGTGAGGATTGAACCTAGGGCTTCATGCATGGTAGGAAAACACTTTACCACTAAGCCACATTCCCAGGCCCCTAAAAACCAGTATTCTGTATTAAAAACTTTAATTTTTTTTCAATAAAAAGTTAATTACCCTTAGGGGGGACTTGGCAAACTACTCAACTTTTGCTCAAATGAATAAGTAAACTAGAACTTTTATTTTCCTTTTACCATTCTGTCAGAAACCACTTTTGAGAGAAGCAGAAAATCATTCTTGGTTCTCCAAATTACTTCCACCCAGTGAGTCAGCTCCTAAAAGGGTGGGTCCTACTATGGGAGTTTCGGATGGCATGAAGCCCAGGAACCAAAAAGGCAGCTGTTGCAAATTTATGAAGGAAAAACAAGAACCCAAACAATTCCCCCTCCACCTGCCCCCACCCCTCCCAAATACTGTGACTTCAACTGGGAAACATCAACAGATCCAATTTTCCAAGACCTGCCTTAGGGTCTGAAAGGAACTGCAGTCTGGTGATTTGGATAAAGAACGTGGAAATTCAGTGTGGTTCCAAATAGGCCAGAAAAGTGAACACTCCGAGTAGTATTCCCCGTTCTGTGGCCCAAATGACCTATTCTAACAGTTATGTGATGCTTGAAACACCTTTCTGGTTCCTCATTACACTAAGAACGTAATTAGACTTTATCAGGCTAACTTGCTATCAGCTGGCAGCAATTAAGGAGTACAAAGCTGTGAGAAAGATATTGCCTATCTGCTTTGTGTCCCCAAAATGGTGGCTGTCAGTCATCTCCTGGAGCACCTAGGGTTCCTTAGAAAGTGTGAGCACAGGAAGGGTTGATCAGCCACATGCTTGTTGCAGGGCAAGGAAACGAATCAGATCTGTAATGCCATTTCCTAGAACGGTTTCCAAGAACTACGGTAGGCTAAGCCAGTAATCGGCGTCAGGTTTGTGAAATTCTGCACTAGGCCTCACTAAACACAAATGCCCTAAGTTCCCCTCCGTTTGCTGTGTCACCTACCACACCTGGCTGCTCGGTTTTCCCTAGTGGGCCTCCCCGGAGGTGACTTCAGTAGGGACGTCCTCTGGCCTTTCGCATCTCCACCCTGAGCCCACCTGTCCTCGGAGGCCGAGGAGACAAGGCTCCCTCCGACTCACGCCTGGCCCAAGGCCGTCAGGCCCTCGCGAGCCGCCCTGCCCGGTTACCCCTCAGGCCCGCCGAAGCCACCCCGCCCCGCACGGCCCCTGCCCCGCAGCCGGGGTCTCCAGACCCGCGCCCGAGGCATCGACACCGCTCCCCGCCTCCAACGGGGACGGAGGACCCCACGGTGGAAGGGGGCGGTGGCCGGGGGGAACTCGCGGGCTGAAACGAGCTGAGGGGCGTCGTTCGTGCTCACCTGACCCGGGGAGTAGCGTCACAGCCCGCCCGCTGGTGCGCAAGAGGAAGCCACGACGGGCGGGACGGGGCGGGGCGGGGCGGGGCGGGGCCAGACTGCGACCCGGCAGCCGGCCGCACCCGAGCCGGGAACGCCCCGGGATCCAGCGCGGGAGGGCGGGGAGCACCCACCGTCCCTTGGTAGCCAAGCCGGTTAGGCCACACACCTCCCTACCGAGAAGTTGCGGCCGCTCTATTTTGGGAGAAAATCTTGAACCTCTAGAGTGGGAAGCCTGGGCAAGCTCTATGGCCGACGGAGAAATGAATACTTGTTGTGAATGCTAGATGGTTGGTACTGGAGAGGTACTCATCAAAGTATTCCTTCAAACACTGTGACATTTCCCACTCCATCTGTCAAATAGTCTTCCTTCCCTGGATACAAGGTCTTTAGGATCAGAGATGATTTTTTTGTGGCGGTATTGGAGTTTCAATTCAGGGCCTTGAGATCACTAGGCAAGCACTCTACCATTGAAGTCCTTTTTGCTTTAGTTTCTTTCCTGTAGGGTCCCACAATTTGGGACCAGGATTCCCCTGCCACCTCCAAGTAGCGAGGGTTACAGGTGCACACGACCATGGCTAGCTTGCT